AATCCGAAATTGGCTCCGCTGCTGGGCGGCCGCGGCGGCTGCGGGAGGGAGGCGGCGAGGCTGAGCCCGGAGCCCCGCGCCCCAGCGCTCCCACCTCCCCTCCCCTCCCCACGCCGTCTGGGAATCACCAACTCACCGAGCAGCAGGGCCACCGGCAGGAGCAGGGCGGTCACCCCCGAGGTCATGGCGCGCTCCCCCGGCGAGGCTCAGCGCAGACGGGGCGCAGAGGGGGGAAGTTGCGCCCTTAGGCCGGCCGCGGAGCCGAGTTCGCGTCTGGAGGATGTGATGTCACCCGAAGCCCCCGCCGAGGAGAGTCGCCCTCCTTTTCGCGGTTGTGGCCTTCCAGCCCAGTGAGAAGGACGGGGGGCCGGGTAGCCCGGGCGGTTGAAAACCATGGGTTTGGGGACAAGGAAAAAGGGGTTGGAAATGGTCTTAGGACATGGTTCTGGCGGAGTAACAGAGACAGAGCAATTAGAGTTCAGAGTGAAGGTGTGAGTGGGCAGGACAGGAAAAGGGTGTCCACTCCCTCTGCCCTCCCTGAAAGTGTCTGCCGCTGTCACCTTGGGGCTTTTTGTCTGCAACATGGGCACCGAGGCTTGAGCAGAAGAGGCATTAATGATCAGCTCACTTCTTGGAAACTTGGGCAGGACAATGGGGGTTTACCCAGCAAGGCCTGGTCTCTTCCACCCTGGAGACGTCCACTGATTGCACCAGCCCGAAGCCCTGTCTGGGCTGAGATTTTTTGCTGACCACACTGTCTGGGGGTTTCTCATCCTTTGGGGCCTTTGCAGCGTCTCCACACCATCTCTCTCCAGGCTAGTCCTCCAGCCACCCTGCTGTGACAATTATTCTCCAAAGGCCCTCTGACAGAGTCAGCTCTGCAGCTTCCCATGACCTGCAGGGCTGGCTGGAAACTCCATACCACCCTCCCCACCCCTACCACCCCCTGTGACTTACCAGCCCTGGGGGCTGACTCCTCACAGCTTTGCCAGTGCTTCCCCAGCACCTGCAGCTGCAGCTGCAGCCTCACAGGCACCATGGTATCTGAACTCGGTTCCTCCGCAGTCAGGCCCTTGCACTGGCCTGGGATGCGGCTCCGGGTAAGTCCTGGGCCAGCTCGATGCCCTCTAACTTGGACCTTATCTCTCAGTCCCAGCCTTGGGAGCTGAACAGGGACTTGTGTGTGGCTGGGGCGAATGCTTGGTGGAGCAGTTTTTCCTTTTCTGTCCCTGGTCCCCCTGTGTCCCCTTCCGTTTTGCACATAAGTATATAATAGGTCGTTGGGAAAGACATGATGCATTTTTCCATTTTTCTATGCAAAATGGTCATGACTTTCCAGACGACCCTGTATATATATTTAAACTTTGTGTATAGGACATAAGTGCTCGCCAGAGCAACACAGAGAAACAAAGGGAAAGTGAGAAATCACCGCCCAGGGGGGCTGGCCATGCTGAAATCCCTTCTCCTCCCTTCTCCTCTTGGGATTTTGGGCATGTGCACACATGTGCCTGCCATGTTTTTTAAGCTACTGTGTCTGGTCAGGAGTCTCACAAGTCAGCGTGTGGGATCCAGCTGCCTTCAGCACCACGCCATGGGCTGGCCCCGTTTTGCCTGTTGATATCTGAGACCCTGTCAGCCGAGTGGCATGCCCTCCTTCCTCTGTCAGGGTACCCGGGTCTCCCCACTGTGAAGCTCACCGTGGATGCACCGCATGTTGCCGCTGCTTGGTTCCAGGGCAAGCTCCCGGCACTCAGTGATCACATGTCTGCCCCACTGTGTTTGCTGGGCTAGGACCATGTCCCAGCCTGTCTTCCATTTTCCGATGTCACATCAGGGCGTAGGCTGAGCTGCACTCTTGTTGTGGGGTTCAAACGTACTGTTCTCTGGACTTTTAAAGTGATTTTTATTGCTTTGATTTCATTGTCTCCCTCTTGTCTCAAAGCACGCATGGTGCTTACTATAACATAGAACGTGGCATTTTACATTTGGAAATGTTTTATAACTTGTCTCTGAAAGGACAAGTATAATATACAGGGGTACTTCAAAAAGTTTGCGGGAGTAGGCTTAAAGTACTAGCTTACTTGGGTGCAAAAAGATTTGTCATAATATGTATTTTGCCATGAACCTTTTGAAGACCCCTCATATTCTCGGAAAACTTCAGACTATACAAAAATGAGTATAGAGGAAGTCCCCTGCTTCAGCTCTCCTCAGTGTTATCTACTTTCCAAAGAAAATGACAGTTGAAAGTGTCCCGTAGATAGTGTCTGAGTTATGTTTATAGGTTGTTTTAGGCACCTGGGATTGTCCTATGTAGAGATATTTTGCAACCTACCTTTTTTTTTTGTCTTTGAAGAATTACTTATTTAATTTTAATTTATTCTTATAATTATTCTTTTTTTTTTCTTTTTTGGAGAGGTTTTCGCTATAGGGTGCGTGCGCTCGCCAGACAGACAGAGAGAGACATAGAGACAGAAAGCGAGAAATCACCCTCCAGAGGGGATGGTCACGCCGCAATCCCTTCTCCTCCATTCTCCTCTTGAGATCTTGGGCACGCACGCACACGTGCCCGGCGTGAGTTTTAAGCCACCGGGTCCGGGATGTGAACCACGGTCAACCACATGGGAATCCAGCGACATAGTCATTACGCTAACTGCTGGTTCCCTTATAATTATTCTTCAGTTTGCCTTAGGGAACATGCACTCACCAGAGAGACAGAGAGAGAAAGAAGGAAAGTGAGAAAGCCAGCCACCAGATCCAGGCCATGTGGGAGTCCCGCACCTTTAATCATCATGCCACCTGCCGACCTCAAAACCTACCTTTGTTAACAGTAGAAGAAAAGTTTTCATGTCTGCAGATGTAACAACACCTCATTATTATTTTTGTTTTCATTTTTTTCTTTTATTTAAAAAATATTTTATATACTCCATTCTTTTAAATGGATACGTTTTATCTGGATGCTCCACACTTTAGTTCAATTAATGGCCACGCAGGTAGTTTCTCATTTATGACAATTACTGCCCAGGGTGTTGTCGGTCCAGTGTTCTTGCATTACTACGGAGTCACGCTGGTGCGCGTTGCGTTTGCAGATGGACAATGAGGAGCTGGGCAGGAAATCCCTTTGCAGTGATGGTTATGACTGGCATATCAATGTATGTGCATGTGTGTATATGCTTGTGTGTGTGTGCATGTGTGCGTGTGTCCTTGGCTATGGAGCAACCACGCTGTCCCTTAACTCACATGAGTGAGGGGACAAGGAAACACCCAGGTCTAAGGAAGCTGCCAAGTGGTGTCCTTGCCTTGGGTGGCAGTTTCCCATCTTACTTGGTCACTGCTGCCACCGCAGGAGTGTTGAGTGGCGTGTAGTCAAAGGATACTAGCCGGCGGGTGATAACGATGATCGCCAGACATCAGAGCCACTTGCTTCCAGTGAAGGAATCATTTGAGGAGTTCAGAGTCAACCTCCAGTTATTCAGATCTTGGGGACCAGGCCTGTGAGGATGGTGATGGCCAGATTCGGGGTGTACAGCTTCAGACAGAATAGTTTCATCTCCGTCTCTCGGAAGTGGGCTGTACTTTGGGGGCCTGCAGCCTTGCAACTGAGAAAAGTCAATCATGGGGCTGGCAGCCCCTTTGTACAGAGCACCATGGGGGTTGGGAGGGATGTCAAGGTAACAGTCAAACCCACCAAGGAGGCTTTGTGACCCCCATGATATTTTTTAGAGAACGCAATAGATTCTCAATGTAACCACAACGACATCCGCCCTGCAGCAGGCAGAAGAGCAGATGTGCTTGCACGACTTCTGGAGATGCTTGTTTTTTATAGACCAGGTGTGCAGAGGGCTGGGTGTGGGATGGGGTCAAGAAATGGGAATGATCAAACTCTCTTTAGGAAGTTCCTTATTCATTTATTTTAAATTTTGCCAGCAACTGTGTGTATTCTCCAGAAAGAGGGAAAGAAAGCACCCCTCCTGGAACATGGTCGTGTTGCAGTCCCTTCTCCTCCACTCCTCCATCCTTTGCATCCTTGAGATTTAGGACACACACGCACATACGCCTGGCATGTTTTTCAAGCTTCCAGGTTGGAATTTGAACTGGCCATGTAGTTGGCCAAGTGGGATCCAGTTTCCCCAACTACTAGACTACAGGGCTGGCCCCAGAAAGCCCTTTATTTATTTATTTTTTCTTTCTTTTTTCGGAGAGGTTTTTTGCTATAGGGCGCATGCGCTCACCAGAAAGAGAGAGACAGAGAGACAGAAAGTCAGAAATCACCCCCCGGGGGAATGGCCACGCCGCAATCCCTTCTCCTCCATTCTCTTCCCGGGATCTTGGGCATGCACACATACACACGCGCCCAACGAGAGTTTAAGCCACTGGGTCCGGGACTCGAACCGCGGTCACCTACATGGGAGTCCAGCGACATAGCCATTACGCTAACTGCTGGTCCCAGAAAGCCCTTTATTTTAAAAAATACCAAGAGAGGGACCAAAAGGTGGAGTGGTGGTTAAGAGCACTGGACTCCCACATGGCCAACTGTGGTTCGAGTCCTGGACCTGGCAGCTTGCTTTCTCACTTTCTCTCTTTATTTCTAGGTCTCTTGCTCTGAGTCAAATTTTAAAAAATAAATAAATAGTTAAATTTTTAAAAAATTCTTAATTAAAAAAAATCCAGAGAGACAAGTAAGATAGTAATCTATTTCTGTGATTTTAGAATCTTTGTTTTTTTAAGGTGTTTGTTCTTAAAGGATGGAAATGAAATTATTATAATTTACACTAATTAAAGACATATTCAGAATGGATAATTAGACAGGATAGGACATTCATCAAGGTTCTGTGCCATAGCTCTTGGGGTGCAGACTACAGGGACACCCTGACATCGTGGCTGTGAAGTCACCTACTGTGTCCCCTTGACAAATCAGGT